AGGCTAAGTGTACCTTATTACCTTTAAATTATTCTTTAAGCTTTACTATTAGGGCATTAAAATTACCTGCCTATTAGTAAAGGGTAAAGGTATAATACTCTTATAGTTTACCTTAGAGTATTACTTAAATTACTGCTCTATAGTAGTCTTATATTATACCTACTTAGACATAAAGGTTATAAAATAATAGTAATTTTAAGTTAATAGTCTTATATTAGCTACTAGTGTACTTTATAGCCTAGTTATTAAAGTATATCTTTATAAGGTTGCTTATTTACTTTAGCGTTAGTCCTAACGTTACTATTAATGTTACTATAGTTAATAAAAGCTCCTATAGTAGTATAGTAGTTATTATATATAGGCTATAGATTTTAGCTATTATATAAGGTTTTAGCGTTAATAAAGGCAGTAGTAAGGTAAAGGTTAGGTTATTATAAGAGGTCTAATAAGTAACTACTAGTAATAAGTGTACTTTAGCTAGTTTTTTACTATATAGGATTATATTATAACCTTAGATATTCTTAATAAAGTAAAGGTCTTTAAGGTGTAGTTTAAAGTTATAAGATAATCTTTTAATAATAGTAATTATTTTATTAGTCTAGTAGGTGCCTTCCTCCTGTTGTAGAGTATTAAACACACGTTAAGTAATTAATAGGTGTTTACTATAGTTAACCTATACGCTATAGTTAACAAGGAAGTTATATAGGCTTATAAGGACCTTCTAGTTAATTACCTTAAAGTTATTTATAGACTATTTACTAAAATCCTTATAGGCGTAGTAAAGTAATTTACTACTAATATAGTTATAGTACTTATAACTACTAATATAAAATATAGTAATAATATTAAGTATAAAAGCTTATTACTTACTTATAAGGTTAGTTAGTAACTTCTTAATATAGTCTTTTCCCTATTACTATAGAAGGATATACTACGTAAGGTTAGTAAGTATAGTAAAGATATTATTAATTACTACTACTTACTACCTTATGTTAAGTAGTATATTATACTTACTATAAACCTCTTCTTATTACCTTATAAGTAATAAGGTAGTAGCTTATAAGCCTTACTTACTTATAAGCTTATTATACTTACTTATCTTAGCTTAGATCTTCTGCTTATAGGCGTAGTGTTATTTACTATTGCCCTCTATTAGCCTAATAACCTCTTAAACATAGGTGTTTCTTCTAGTAGACTAGAAGGTGTATATATTTATTAGAGGGATTACTACTAGTAGTATAGATAGTTAAGAAAAAATACACTCTTGTAGGTAAATAACTTAAGAAAAACAATAGGCTATTATATTAGCTACTTATTAACACTATTAGTTAGTAAAAGAAGGAGAAATAATAGGCTATTATATTAGTAACTTATTAATACTATTAGTTAGTAAAAGAAGTATATATATAAGAAAAAGAAGTTAGTAAGCTAAAGAGCTTATAATAAATAAGATATAGTAAATAATTACTAGTTAGCTATAGGTATATAAAGTAAGGGGTTTTTTATAGTTAAGAGCGCTTCTCTAAAGGTAATAAAGCTTATATAATAGACATAAATTAATAGGGTTTCTACTAGTTAAAGGGACTAGTTATAGATCTATTAATTAACCTATTGTAATAGGTAATTAGTATAAACTATTATAGTAAGGGTATTTATAGAGGCGTTTTTTAGTACTTGCTTACTCTAGGTATATAAATAATTAACTAGTAATAATTACCTCTTCTTATAGTCCTTACTAATCTATAGTTTAGATAGTAAAGTTAACCTATATAGTTAATAGTAAAGTTAACTACTAATTAGTGTTAGTAACACTAAGGGATAAGTTAATATAGTTAACTATATATATTAGTAGTAATTAATAAATAATAGAGGTAACTATAGTTCTCTATTATATATAAAGAAAAGAAAGATAATTATTATAGGTTAGTTAGTTAAATAACTAACTTATTGCCTATAAATCCTTAGAGAATCTATAGCTAAATATCCAAGGATTTACTAGCGATAAGTCATTAGGGTTAACCTAATAACTCTAATATTTATCCGCGATAGTTAATATTATAATAAATACTTATATTTAATATAAGATAGTCCTTTAATTTTTACCCCCTAAGTATTAACCTAGAGTATTATAAGTACTTTAGGCCCTAGATACTTACTCTAAAGGTACTAAAGGTAGACATTATTACTATAGTCTACTAGTATATTTATTAATAAGTAAAATAAGGTTATAAACACTTATATATTTACTAGTAAAGTAAGGCTATAAAGAACAAGGCTATATAATAGCCTAAGGTAAAAAAAAAGAGGTTTATATTTAAAGAAGATAAAGTTACCTTTATATACTAGCTTCTTTATAGTTATATTCTTTTTAGGTATTCTAAAGTAAAAAGTATAGTTATATTCCTAATACTATACCTTTGCCTTCTTAATTAGACCTTCTAAGGTAATATTAATATAAAATCTAGGAATAAAGGCTACGTTTTTTAGTCTAAGATCCTTTATACCTAGCCCTTTTATACTATTAAGGAGGTTCTTTATAATATATATACTATATCTCTTTATAAAGTAAAATATTATACCTAATTTAATATAATAATTATTTATATTTATTTTATAAGAGCTAGGCTTAAGAAGTAACTTATTATTTATAATATAAAGGCCTCTATAGTTATTAAGAATAGTGTTTTTACTAAGAGTATATAAGCTAATAAGTAAAGTTAAGAATATACTAAAAGTTAAAAAAAGTATAGTAAAGGTCTTATTAAATAAGTAAAGGTTAATAGTAACTATAATAAAGGTACCTTATAGGTAGAAGAAGGTTAAATCCCCCTTTTTTTACTTCTTTTATACTTTACCTCTAAGGTTTAACTACTTTAGCTTTAAAAGCTTTATAATAATAGCCTTTACTACTTACTTACTTAGGTTAACCTAAATAATCCTTAACTTACTAAAGAGTATATACTTAATATACCTATAGTTAATAGGTTTTTATAAGTAGTTAGACCTTTTATAAAGGTATTTAAAGTACTACTTTTTATCTTATAGTTTACTTTTCTTTATAAAGGTTATATATACCTTTATTACTTTATAGGATTTTATAAGTATTATTTATAGTAAATTACTTAGTAACTTACTATATTCTCTTAAGGTTATTTATTATCCCCTATATTATTTAGTCTTTATAAGGTTATTTAGCTTACTGTTTACCTAAAAAAAAGTAATTTACTACTTAATAGTATATAAGAAGGTCTTAATTAGGAGAGTACCTTAGATCTTAGGAATACTATATACTTTAGCCTTTATTAAGGTAGTACACTATTCTTTAAGCTAAGTAAATAAGTTATTTATTAATAAAATATATATAAAAGTCTTATTATAATTATTATAGGCTATATTACTTATTATATTATAAAAAAAAGTATATTATTATTTAATCTTTAAAATAGTTATATAAAAAGTAAAGTTAATATTATTATTTAGTAATTATAGCTATATACTTTTTATAATCTCTTTTATAACTATAGTATTAACTTAACTTAATAATAGGTTATTTACTTTTTACTATTTATATATCCTTAGCTTAGTAAAAGATAAATTACTTATAGTAATAATTTATTTTTACTTTATTACTTTATTATTAATAATTAGTACTACTAGCTAAATAAGCTCTTAGCCTTACTACCTTACTTATTAGCTAACTAAGAGGTTATTCTAGCTTATAAGGTTAGCTTTATATTACCTTTAGTGTTTAGTGTTTTACTTTATAATATATTTAGCTAGTATAAGTACTCTTAAGTACTCTAGGAGCTCCTCTTTACTATCTAGATTAATAAATTACTAGACTTTATATTAAGTAGTATAAAAGTAAAGCTTTATATACTATAAGAACTAATCTTTATATATAGTTAAAAGGCTATAAAAGTAAGTATTAGTTAGTAGACTTATTATTACTTCTAAAGGTATTATAGGCATAAGATAAAGTTAAAAAAAAGTATTAGTTTTAAGAAAAGTATTTTTAAGTGTATACTACTTTATAATAGTAAAGGTTATTATTACTTATAAATTAAGTTAAAGCTAGGCTTATAACTATTATTAAGTAGTATGTTTAAGGGGTAATTTATATAGTTAAAAGTAGCTTATTTCTTTTATCTATAGTACTATAATCTATGTTCCTTAAATATTGCCTTGCTTAGTAGATTCTGCTGCAAGTATCTATATTCAGGAGCAAGGGTCAGATTAATAAGCGACGTTGTTCCAGAGAGCGGTGTCAGTCGGCAATATCCTGCGTGACACATGAACTATAGGTGGCCCCTGCTTTTGCGGGTGAGGAAGGGATACCAGGGTATCCGTAGATCGTGTCAGAATCAAATTCGATTCAACATAGAGATTATACACATCTTGCTTCTGTTCTCTCCATTCGCTTCCCCTTGTTCCTTCGTTTTCTTACCTCAAATGGGACGTTACTGATATTAATTCGCGTCGTATTACTAATGAGAGCACGTGAGGATGTGATTATATGGAAGAGACCCGGGCTATTTGATATCTGAGGGCGACAGCATTGCGGATCTGCCCTAGCAAGCGAAACTGCTTGCGCCTTGTCCGCAGATATGCTCCCATGTGGACCATGGCCCGCCTTGTGCTATTCAAATCAGACTATGTTGCTGCAGTTAGCGTAGCCCGAACACAAACTAACCCCAGCCGTCGATTGGCACCTAACACTGCTGTGTCCGGTGGCTGTGCCATGGTATCTTTGCTCACCGTCACAAAAATGCTTCCATAGCGAAAGCAGACGACAGGGATGCAGATCCTCCGCAGCAATAGACCAATAGGCTGCAACACTCAAAAATGACAACCAATGTTGTCGGGTGGAAAGCTGTATGCCTAGCAAGCTGTGCTGCCACAACAGCCTGGTCGGGCGAAGCATTTGCCACGGCTATGGACGGCAATGATGCAAGCGCTTCGAAGTAAGGGTACTTACTTCTTGGCTTTCTGGCGGGGTCGCTTAACAATATATACCATTGAAGCCCATGACATTTGTAGTTAATATCATTTCGTTGCATTATCGACTTCACGCAACGGGTCTTACTGTCTGCTGGTCCGCAACAACATTGGACAGCTCGAGAAATCACGTCCACCAGTATAAAACCCATTGTGTTAATCATGGCATCCAATTCGTCAATGCTCGACGTCGAAGACGTAAAACCCCCAACCTACGACGATACCCTTGCAGAGGCAAGAGGACAACTCAATTGCGGGGAGACGCCAACATTCTTTCTGGACAAGACAACAATCTTTGCCAACACATCCCCGCCTCGCGCACTCTACGAACTGAGCAACATCGTCACGGATGCAAAGTCGCTTACCTACGGGGTTCAGAAAGTTGTCTACAGAGTCAGCCCAGCGCTCGGCAGCGACAAGATCAGGACGAGACTAGACCACATCTACGACTTCACACAAGATCCTATAAGAGCACTCGACAGCTACAAAATGCAGCTGAACGACGTGGTTGTCATACAAGGCAAGATGAATTCCAAGAGGACATACAAGGAAGTGCAGTTGATGCCCAGCGTGGCCGGGTGGAAGGTCAAAAATCACTTCAAGGCCGGCAATAGCGTGGTGCATCAGTTGAAGCATGAGAACGAGATCCACTGGAAGAACATGGAGGACGAGGTCATCGCAATCGAGACGCTGCCCAAGCGAGACAAGGAAAAGAAGTTGCTCAACATGCCTCAGCTGGAAATCAAGACCGCGATGGAAGACAAAGAATTGGACCTGCTAGTGACCAGTTGGATGGCTAGACTCTGGCGGCAATCCGCGGACGAAACCAAAGAACCGATGACGTGGAAAGACTGTAGGTGACAGGTCTCAGGCCATGACCCTGATAACACAAAAACGGCGAATGTTCGTGCTGACTTTTCCTAGTTAAAGACATTTCAAAGATTGCACTCAGACAGAATAGGCCAAGCATCTGGATACTGGGCTGATAGTTCCGCGGCATAAGACTTTGACGACGCAAACGAAAGACTCTCATGCATTTTGCATATATTGGTTAAGAAGATAGACAGATACCCAACCCCCTTGCTTTTTCAATCAAGAATAGGATGAGCCTCATCATATAGGGCTACTGTGTCTGATGCACGATAGCGTTGCCTAGGTTATCTTGTGATATAATTACCTTTACAAGTATTGCGGTTGATCATGCATGCACATATGACAAGAGACTAGGCTGCATGTCTTTGATCTTACAACCAAGTCAACTTCTTGTGATATTACCAACAACCGACAACTTGTTACTCAAATTCCCAGCCCACATTACCACGAGAGCTGCAAAATACTAGGGGAAGGAGAATATCCTAATCGAACAGCTAACAGAACTTTCTTTTGGTCAAAATCATATCAAGGTACGATATCTTGCTCATATATTGTCCTACATACGGTGTGTAAGTTCGGCACCGTGCAACGAAGACGTAAGGAAGGACAGGTTTGGAATCCCATCATGACGATACTCAACGCACGAAGAAAACGCAGTTGTTTATTTGGACCATTCCGTGCAACTACTACTGCGTCAACCACAGCACCCGTACGAAGCAGGGCTCAGAGCGGAGCACGTCCTTTACGCCTGGTGATATGCCTTGGAATAAACATGTTCAAGAAAAGTAGTATCAGTCGGTTCCTCTGCTTGCTGCTCACGAGATAACTTGACGGCTGTGGGACTTGGTGTGTGAATGTCCGGGGCTCAATATTATCAAGGCGGTTGGAGGTACGTGATGCGTCTCAATGAAAGCGAATGCTATGTTTCAAAACTGACGGACGACTTGGGCGTTATGTCCACCATGGTCAATAGCCCTGGGCGACCAGGTGCCTAGGCAAAAGCCTGTAATACGATATACCGCCCCGTATAAGGGGCATTCGGATCGCCCAGCTCATTGTACAGCTCGGTCTCGACGGCAATGTGCCGGACCTTGGCGTGCTCGCGCCCGATCTCTTCCGGGTTCTCGGGCTCGGGAAGCCCACGCACTAGCTTGACGCAGGGGGAGAGCAGAGCGAGCTCGTCGGCCATGATGAAGAACTCGTACCTAGCGCCGCGGGGCACGTAGACTATTTCTCGCGGGTCGCTCTGGCTTGGCTTGAAGGGGACCATGTTCTCGGACTCGACCCAGGTCCGGAAACGACGCTGCAGGTCGGCGATGGAGATGTTGTCCAGGGAATGGTCATCGATGAAGATGAAGTCCATGTTTTGGAGGATCTCTGGGGCGGGGGAGTCGGTGATGCGCTTGCGAAGGTTGGAGAGGACGAGGGCTTTGAACTGGTCCCATTTCAGGGTTGACTCGGGGGCGTAGGTTGTGCGGTAGATTACGAGGCCCCATTTTGAGTAGCCGCAGTCTCTGATGTTGGTTTCATTACCATACAAAAGGACCAGAGTCATCAGCGCGACGTGCCCCAGCTGACCAAGAACATCAATGCCCGCGTTATCGGGGCGCAGAAGATCACGATGTATAGTTTCCTCGAGTGGAACCCGAGCCAAGAGCGTGAGTCCTTATGTTTTGCTGCCCAACCCCCGATACTGCGGAGCGTACGGCAACACGAGTGGTGAGATTCTTCCTGACATGTCTTCTTTTTTCTTTTCTTTTGGTGATCAAATGCTAATATAAGACATGGCTGCCCCTGACACTTCCAACGGCGGTTGCCTCAACGTAGAGACCCCGGAACCCGGCACCGTCGAGGACTCCACCTGCTTCACGAAGGTCAGCGGCTTCAACGCCTACAACTTTCTGTTCGTGAACATTTCCGAGGACAAGAATATCACTACGAACGACCTGGCCAATTAGAACACTTGGATAGGCGAAGAGTCCGGCTGCGACGCGGGTCTCTACGCCAACCTCGCAAGGCCGGCTCGGGCACACCCACCGAGCCCGTCGAGCCTCCCGGTCCCACGCAGTCCGACATCATCGAGAGGTGCCTGAAGTACTACATCGCAGCGTCCGGGGACGGGTGTTGGGCCATCGCTGACGCCAACGGCATCGACCTCGCCGATGTTTACGAGTGGAACCCTACGCTCAACGGGAATTGCTCGGGCCTGTGGCCCGCATACGCTTACTGCGTTAAGGAGCCCGCGTCTTCCGGCAGCGGGTCAGAGCCGATCGAGCCGCCCGGGCCCACGCAGGAGGGAATCACGGCCAGCTGCAAGAAGTATCCCCTCGTCAAGTCCGGGGAAGGGTGCTGGGGCATTCAGCAGGAGTACGGTATCCCCGACTATGCGACTTTTGTCAAGTGGAACCCGGCGCTTGGGTCTGACTGCCAGAACTTATGGCCCAGCTATGCCGTCTGCGTTGGTGTTTAGACCATCATTTGGCCTGAGGGCGGGTTTGGTACTGGACTGCTAAGCCTCGGCGAGACCGGGTTAGTTGATTCCTTCTAGGGAGTTCGATATCGAGGGAAATTCCGTCCCTAATACTGTTCTGGAGTCTTCTGTGCTGCGTCTTGTCTTCCCTTTGTATCAGGATGTGCTCCTTCTTGTTCTTGGGGTTAAGAGCGAGGGCCTAGAACATATTGGATGAAGGCGCGAGTCTCAATGATGGTTGATGGGGTGGAGGAAACTGAATATTGCGATCAAGACAAGAAGGGCGCGGGGTTTGCATGTTTCGTCTACGGTTTCCTGCCATTCTGCACGCAGAGTGCCGATGTCATCTTAGAAAGACGTCTTTCCTCCTTTTCCTCAACTTGCCGTAACTTAATCTCCTTCAAATCGCTCACCGTTCAGTCCAAGTCATCCGCCTCCCTGTTGCTCAATTAGAACGCCGAGATCATACCATCTTGCTATCCTCGCCAGTCCACGGCCCGCCGGCCATTCGGAGCCCTAACCGAACTTCATGATGTTGGACCGCGAAGTGGACTGGGAGGAGACAAGGGGAGCCACAGAAAGAGTTATCATACGTCAACATACGCTTGTTAGGGACGCTCTCAAGTGTACATACTGCACTTGCCTTCGGAACTATACTGCGAGATCCAGATGGCGCTGACGCTGCCAAGTGATGCATCACTAATTCCGAGCTTGGCACACAGCGTCAGGTGAGAATAAGAGGGGGTTCAGTTAAAAGGCTCATCTCATGACACGTCCTCTTAGCCCGCAACATGCGGCTACTTCGAGAACCTATAATAACGTGGCGTTCTTTGCCAATAGTCTTAGAAAAGACGATCTGGATGGGTAAGATTTGGGAAGTAGTAGTTGGGGACCAGATGCCTCAGATAAATCCGGACAGTATCACTGGTCTTTGATCGATATTGTATGAAACCCAATCAATGATCAGACGAATAGAATGTTGAATGCCTGCGGTGATTTCCAGGTTAAATTTGCACGTATCCGTCTTGGCGCTTGGCCGGCTCTTCAAGGGACTCCGTTATCTGATGGTTACGGACAGCCAGGCCGATGTCCGATCTGAAAGTAGATTGAAGCTGGGTAACCAATAACCTCTATGCCCATCCCTCAATCAAATCTAGGATTCGAAATGTGGTAGGGATCCTACATCTAGATAAGCGCCGGCTAACTAAAGCTTCCACGTTCCGTTGAGTGGATGGTGCATGTTGAGGGTTAACGTTGAAGTGGCAAACTGTGAGGCGCATAGCACTTGCCAAGGTTATTTTCCTGCGCAAAGAAAGGTAGCAAGTGGAATGTCTCTGATAAGAGTACCTTAATTAAATGAAAGCCCAGAGCCTTGGGTCACTATGGGCGGGAATGTCGGTAGCGGTTCCGTCTAAAACTGTTGTATTATCCGGACCATCATCCTCCGTAGATCCACCCACAGCCCTGTCTGACGGTCCTCGTTCCCCGTCATCACGGCCCATTCGTCCAGCAGTCAAATCTTAAGCAGAAAGACGGCTCATATGTCGCCGCCGTGGCGATCTTGGCTTTCCACCACCTGGTTAGTTGCAGCCGTCTCGCCCTTCGCGGGGGGTGGCTCTGCAACACTAAGGCCGACGACTCATGATAACCAACCCCAGGAAACGGCGGAATGTTGAATCCCTATATATACCCTCTCGAACCTATCACCTTTCCATCATCCTACTCCGAATAACGCTAAACAAGACGAGCGCATTTGAGCACATATTCATTCTTTTAGCCTCTGCAACGCTCCCGGTCTTTCCCTTCAACTTTGAAACCCACCCAAGCTCACGATGAAGGTCCTCCTCCCTCTTCTCACGGCCAGCTTGGCCAGCGCCCACACCATCTTCTCCTCTCTTGAGGTCGGTGGCGTTAACCAGGGCATCGGCGGTGGCGTTCGTGTTCCGTCGTACAACGGTCCTATCGAAAACGTGCAGTCTGACTCGCTTGCCTGCAACGGAGCCCCCAACCCCACAACTCCCTCTTCGAAGGTCATTACCGTCCAGGCTGGCGAGAATGTTACCGCTATCTGGCGCTACATGCTCAGCTCTACCGGCTCCGGCCCCGCGGACATTATGGACAGCACCCACAAGGGCCCGACCATCGCGTACCTGAAGAAGGTCAACGATGCTACTTCCGACAGCGGGATCGGGTAAGTCTGGTTCTAGTAGCCATCTGGATTCTAGATCTAACAGCGTATACCGAAAAGCTCTGGCTGGTTTAAGATCCAACAGGACGGTTACAACAACGGCGTCTGGGGTACCGAGAAGGTCATCAATGGCCAGGGCCGCCACAGTATCAAGATCCCCGAGTGCATCGCCCCCGGCCAGTACCTCCTCCGTGCCGAGATGATAGCTCTTCATGCCGCTGGCAGCTACCCCGGTGCTCAGTTCTACATGGAGTGTGCCCAGATCAACGTCGTTGGAGGCACTGGTTCCAAGACCCCCTCCTCCACTGTCAGTTTCCCTGGTGCCTACAAGTCATCCGACCCTGGTGTCACCATCAGCATCGTAAGTTTTCTCTCATAGTTCTTACCTTTAGCTTCTTGAAATGTCTAACCTTTCTTTTCTTAGTACTACCCTCCTGTCACCACGTACACCATCCCCGGACCCGCTCTGTTTACCTGCTAGACACTTGATACTTGAAAAGCGACTACGGGAGGAACTAGAACACTCTGCGAGCGCATTCAATCTTTAAAATCCAATCTTCTTCTCAGGTCTGAGACCCGTTGTACAGGGCTATTCGTGTATATAGTTAGCAGACATTCAGCGTGAAAGCTCACCCAGTAAACGGGGCAAATTCACATACGGAAACCAAAAAAACTATCGAGAACATTTGTCGATACTCTGATTTTCGAAGTGGTTTGCGGCATAGGTAAAGTGTCTTTAGATGACTGTTGTTCGGGCTGCGTTCTGAATTTGATGACATATTATGCAACGCGGTTCAAGTATGAGATGGTTCGGCGGCAGCTTGGCACGTAAAGATAACATCCGTAGGCGGCTATTATCCACAAGATTATTGAAAGAAGTAGATATGAAGAAGACTAAAATTGAAACTATGGGATGAGTATCAAGTCATGGACTATACGTGGCAGTCACAGAGCTCCTTTGACCCAGATTCTTCTACCGTGGTCTACTATTCATATCGTTAAAATGAGCAAGAAAACATATGCCCAGTCGTTATCGTTTCCACGGATCTAGTTGAAGACGTGGCTCTCTCTTTGTTCTCTACCATTTACTTAGACGATACAATGCTTCGGAATCGCCATGGAATTGATACTTAATGGGTCGAGCCTGTGGCCGGCCGGTCGTCCTGCTAATTCACCCGCGAACCACACTTCCTTCCTTTATGCAACTTCAAAAGCAGTGTGACTCAAGGCGCAAGATTCTTGACGACCTTGGTGGTAGATTTCGGAGTCACCGTGTGACTTGCAATCATCGCGACCTTTATGGCAGATTCAACAGTACTACCATCGCCGCCAAGGTTGACGCCCACGTTCCGGCGCCTGAAGGTTGTTCGTGTATGCAGCCATGGTTGAAGTGAATTCAGATTCATTAGTCTCTCCGCGTTATTAGGTATTCTATACCGTATTAAGAGATCGAGATGTTGCATAGGTCAGAAGTGCCCTGTATCGAGTTTTACGTACTGTGATATTACACATGTATCGGGTGAACTGCACTAGACCGCTGATGGGTCTTTAGAGCGAATATGTCTATCAATACTCAATGAGTCACTGAATTTTGTATGCCCCATGACTATCGGGTATCTAGGTTACCTCTTCCGGCGGAAGAGAAAATGGGATCCATTCGCTGCTATCTCCGGTACGGCGCACTCGACAGAGGAAACCCGCGCCCTCCCTTGCACAGCAGCCTTGATAAGTCCAATAACTGCAACCTAAGTTACTACTTTGTTCATGGATCGCCCTCATCAATTACCTACGCTGTTATCGACTTCCGTCCAAGTCTAAAACATCACGGCAACATTCTTTTACGCTGCCCCCATTTCTTTCGCACTCCGAGCCATCCATACAACACGACACCAGCCGCTTCCAGTTGTACTGGCCCTATGAATGAAGCTCTTCGCCTCTCCACACTTATTCCGATTCATTCTAGCCGGCTGACTGCCTCGGTTTCAGTACAGTCTCCGAAGATGTACCCCACCGATATGCACAGTCTTCCTATTGAGATCTATAGGATGATCGCGAAAAGTCTCTGCACCCACTGTTCTCGAACGGAAAAAGTCTACACGTTGTCCAAGATTACCCTCTACAATCTGTGTCTGGTAGACAAAAAATGGCACCAAGCCGCGACCCCGAGTCTCTATCACGCCTTCGAGACAAGCTATGACACGAACTCCATCCTCTTCGGCTCAAGCCATGACAAGGCCTTCGAGTCAAGCCAGGACAAGACCTTCCTCGCCTTCCTACACACACTCATTCAACATCCGAACCTAGCCATCCATGTCAAGAGCCTCCGTCTGAGACCGACGTATCGAGAATGGTCCTGGGGGAACATGAAAGCCTTGAGGAATGACATTAGATTCAGGGCTCTTGCTCTAGGCTCACCCTTTTCAGATCACCCGGAGTTATTAGCCGACAGCAACTCAAATTATTTAAGCCGAGACTGTCGAGGTGTATTGGAGGAAATGCTTCTGCTTCATACCCCAAACATTGTGTCCATCGACTTTGACTGGGGAGCGGTTGAGGTGGATGTACATAACATCTTCAAGTACCTCAACACCGTCGCTCATTGCTCTCAGAAGTGGCACGGCATGAGGCGCCTCCGCCATGTGAAGTTGGATATGAGATTTCCTCGAAACACCCCCGAGTCGCATATGACCTATCTCTCCAGACTTGCCACGGTTGCTCCGAGCGTGCAGCGTCTCCACACAAACTTGGTGAATTCGCTTTTTCCAAACTGGCAAGATATGGATGACGCGTCATCCAACTACTGGGCTCCTGTTGCAGTCCAGCTGCAGATTCCGACTCCTACTCACATTGTGACCTTCCTCAGCAGCCTCAGGTCTATATACATCGCCAACTTCACCGGTGACGTCTCCTTTGAAAGGACACTCGGAACGCACATTGGCCACTGCAAGAGCGTTGAGGAGGTACGGTACGTCTCGAAAAGCCGGTATGCTGCCTCGTTCGTGCAGTTGATTAAGCCGCTGTCTCGCACTCTGAAGCGATTCGGCCTCACTCAGTGTTATCCCCGAGACAACGAAACTATCTGGGATGCTCCCCACGACGATTCTGTGGCAGTGGTTAAGGCTATTGCGGGCTTGACGTCGCTCGAGGCCCTCCGCTTCGACATGGCCGGCTCAATGTCCATATTTGGGCACCAGGAATCGGAATCGGCCAGTATGTTAATTCCGTTAATTTGCGCCCTCCCCAAGTCTTTGCGCGTCTTGGCCATTGGCGGTTGCAAGTGGGTTTGTCTCAAGCAGGGCCTCTCGCAACTCATGGATCGTGTCCAGGACGGCATGCTTCCGAACTTCCGCACCCTCCACGTAACCTGTTGGATTAGGACTCATTACAATCCCTTCATCGAGGCATTTGCCGACCTTGGTATTGAAATGGTGATTCACAGCCAGATGGAGCATCCTCTCGGGCCGAATGGTCTGTTCTCAGAAGGATGGACGCATATGGTTGAAGGGCGATTTTCATAGGCTGATGGTATTTGCTGGGGGATAAAGCTTCTTCGAGCTAGGGACTCCAGCTTGGTGAAGCTGATCGTTGATATCCGTCGACAACAATGGGTATTTCGGACTTCCTTGAGTATTTAATAAATTCCTTTTCCAAACCCAAGCTGGTGCTGTAATAGTGGTCCATGCCATGTCTGTCAGGAAGACTGACTGGACTGGATGGGATGGTAAGGAGACATGAGGTGTGGATGTGGCTTGTGGATGATAGTATGGCTTGTGGCTGACAAGATGGCTTGTAACTAATAATGTGGCTTGATCTCGATGGCTACCTCAGCCACAATACGGTTGTCGCTGTCTTACCTAATTCATCCAGTCCGGAGGGTTCTATCCCGTCGAGCGGATAGCCGGTACATACCTAGCAGTAGCCGCGGTACGTAGTGTTTGCTGAAGTTATTTGTACAGTAAATGACCGGCCGATAACGCAGGGGGGCGGGGGCGTCATTGAGAAAAGAGAGCCACGCACTAACTAGCGGGGCGACGATCCCTGCGCGCAGAGCGCATCGCAGCGCAGTGCAGAATGATACCGTACTGTACTCTACTTACCTACCTACGTACCTAGGTACCTAATTAGCGACCCCGCCAAAGCAAAACCTGCCCCTCTATTTGGGAATTTTATTTTTTAAACCCCGCGTCTTTCCCTCTCGAATGTTTTTGTGAGACTATCGCAGACCGACGTTGCGATCGCAGCAACCCATACTTTGGACAATTCGCTTGCAAGAACAGCCTTGTTGCTTGTTGCTATACCGTTACTCGCTCTTACGCTCTACTCTACTTGCACACACGACGAGACGCAATGTCTACCATTGACATCGTCCTCGGCGCCCAGTGGGGGTAAGCTGCCAAATCTTCCCGTGGCCCGACCTCCTTGCCTTTGCCCTCTCTGCCTTTTGCTCTACCTTGGCCCAGCCTGTTTTTTTCCGTTTCTTCCTCCGTCTCTATCTCTCTTCTCGCGTCATGTTCCATTTCTCCGTCTTCTTCTCTCGTGTTTTTACCTTAGCTAGCAGGGCGGCTATGTCGACAAACGGCCTTCGAGGTATATGCGTCTGGTTCTCGTGTGTGCGTGTGTATACCGACAAGAGTCGCGTCTTGGCGACACGTTTGCCCTGCTGAGCCAATTGCCACGGCATCAACCAACTGACACATTGTGCAACAACAGTGATGAGGGCAAGGGAAAGCTGGTTGACGTGTAAGCTCTCCCTCATGCCCTCGGCCTCGCCCCAATGACCCTCTGACCCTCCCGGATACAGCCTCGGACAAGACGCGCAGATTTGCGCCAGAGCTCAGGTTGGGACCGCGGCACCTTCTGAATAATCAATGGCATGCTGATGGCCCTAGGGCGGACACAATGGTAGGAGTCACTCCAACTCCTCATGACCAATCCAAGCATAACGCATTCTAACCCGACTGCCTCAGCCGGTCACACTGTCATCGTCGATGGTGTCAGCTACGACTTCCGTAAGTCAACATCTTGCTCCTCTCGATGAGTGGCTTCGCTACCTCTCTCCTCCAACCCCCGCGATGCTGACCTGCTCTGCCTCCAGACCTCCTCCCCTCTGGTCTCCTGCACCAGAAGTGCATAAGCCTCATCGGTTCCGGCGCCGTCGTCCACGTCCCGACCTTCTTCAAGGAGATGGCTGACCTCGAGGCCAAGGGCCTCAAGAACATCCGCGAGCGCCTTCTGGTGTCCGACCGTTGCCACATCATCACCGACTGCCACATCCAAGTCGACGGGCTGGAGGAGCAGGAGCTTGGCGGCAACAGCATCGGCACCACCAAGCGCGGCATCGGCCCAACCTACAGCACCATGGCTGCCCGTAACGGTATCACCATTAGCGAGATGTTCGATGAGGAGCTCTTTGAGCGTAAGCTCCGTCTGCTCGCTCAGGGCTTTAAGAAGCGCTTCGGCGACCTCCTCGTCTACGACGTCGAGGACGAGATCAAGCGCTTCAAGCAGTACAGAGAAGACCTCCGCGTGCGTCCCCGCCCCATCCAATTCATACCGATCGACTTGTTGTTAACATGGATCTGCAGACCTTTGTTGTCGACGCCGTCCCCATCATTTCCGATGCCCAGAAGAACGGCAACAAGATTCTCGTCGAGGGTGCCCAGGCTGTCATGCTTGACCTGAGTACGTGAAGAAAACCATACCCCGACGAGCGCGTGCCCCCTGCTGACCACCTGCCTCAGACTTCGGAACTTACCCTTACGTCACGTCATCAAACACTGGTCTTGGAGGTGTTTTCACCGGTGTAAGTTCCGTGCCCCCGAGAGTGCCAGCCGGCATGTTTCTGACCCTCCCAACCAGCTCGGCCTCAACCCCAAGAAGATCAACAACATCGTCGGTGTTGTGAAGAGCTACACGACCCGCGTCGGCGGTGGCGGCTTCCCCACGGAGCTGCTCAACGAGACGGGCGAGAAGCTCCAGAAGATCGGCCACGAGATCGGAGTCTCCACCGGCCGCTCCCGCCGGTGCGGCTGGCTCGACCTGGTCGTCGTCAAGTACTCGACGGACCTGAACCACTACACTGCGCTGAACCTCACCAAGCTCGACATCCTCGACACCTTCCCCACCCTCAAGGTCGCCGTCGCCTACAAGAACAAGCAGACGGGCGAAACCTTCGCCTCCTTCCCCGCCGATCTCAAGGCCCTCGAGGAGGCCGAGGTCGTCTACGAGGAGCTCGAGGGCTGGAACACGCCCACGACGGGTTGCAAGACGTACTACGACCTGCCCAAGCAGGCCCGCGCGTACATTGAGTTCATTGAGAAGTTTGTCGGCGTCAAGGTTGTCTGGATCGGCACCGGTCCCAAAAGAGAGGACCTCATCTTCCGGGGATACTAAAGAGTTGGGGACCTATCGGTTTGAGAGAGGAGAGTGGCCGCAGGTCATGGACAACGCCGAGACATCGGGCCTCAGCGAGGTTGTTGATAGAGTCTCGATATAAACCAGAAAACAATAGACGATAAAACATAACCGCACCACGCTCGTCAATCGGTGAAATCAGTCTGGAAGAGCTACGATAATGAGTATCGTCCTTGTGCCTCCGGCTGAAATATACATCTTCTGATACCTACGTCACAGCCCCTTCTCGCAAGCATCGTCATCGTAAGCTCAGGTGTATCTCCTTACTAATAGATACTTCACGAACCAAAAATCCGGGGCATCATTGGAGACTCAACCAGCGGGGCCGCGGAAATCGGGCCTGCAGCCAAGTCCCCGACATCGGGAGGGAGGCTGAGGCATTTTAGACTAGCATTCGCCCGCCGGAAGCCGCCGAAGGACTACTATGTACGTAGACTAGCAAATTTTTTACTATTTTTTTTTTGTGCAACGTTGGCTTCAAACACCCCCAAGAGACGCACGTCATTGGCCAACTTTGTTTGCACACAGACCGAGTCTCGTTCCCATGTCCTAGTCACGGCTGGCTGGCTAGAACAGATAGAAACATCAATTGCAAAACCGAGTCCCGGTGTCACACACAGACGGACACCCCAGGTGTTCTGAATTGTCTGGCCGGTTGGCCCAATGGCAAGGCGTCTGACTACGATTGAACAGAATAAGTCGTGTATCAGGAGATTGTGGGTTCGACCCCCATGCTGGTCAAAATCTTTTTTTCTTTGCCGTTTCCTATGCCACTATCATGCGTGCCAGGAGAATAGCGCTTTTGTCCAGTCGTCCTTGGTTTTTAGATCTAGTTAGCAGGTTTCTATCTACTCGATCATGCTGGCGCGATCAAGGTCGGTTCATGTGATGAAACAAAAGGATTCTAACCTCTCGAAATCTTTGAAAATATTTGCTTGTTTCATTTCCATCTGATGGATGCTCGTCACTTTGAGACCATGATATATGCCAGTGAAACATTACAGACAGATCATGATTTTGCTCGTCTGTATCAGTCCTTTATTCCCCCCCCCCAAACACCCCAACTCGACACAAATGACAGCTACGCCATCACCCGGTAGACCGGGTACTCGTCGCCTACGCTCACGGGTAGGATGTTGAACGTGGCATACGAGTCGATGCCCTCCGGCTCGAGCGTCACGAACGCGTGCGCGGCGTTCCTCTGCCTCGTGCCGACCCAGAACCCGCCGGCCGGGACGCGGACCTCCTTCCGCACCGTCTCCGTCTTCACCGCCGTCCGCGCCACGCCCTCGAATCTGACCCCGCCCTCGTCGACGGCGTCTGCGCCGGTGACGTTGAGCGCCTCGACCTCGCCGCGGAAGTCGGCGCGCAGCTCGCGCACGTCGACGCCGGTGACGCGCAGACGCTCGGCGACGTCGGCCCACGCCCGCGAGAAGACGTAGGCCGCGGGCCGGCGCCGGGTCAGCCCCGCGACGACGGGCGTCGTGTTGAGGAAGCGCACCGGCACGTCGACCAGCGCTCCCGTGGCCGCCTCGATGAACTGCCACGAGATGTTGGTCGGCCGCGCCGACTCAGTGACGACGATGTCGTCGTCGCCGGCGACGAACTTTGCGCGCGCGCCCTCGACCGTCGCGTACACCTCGTCGGCCCGGTCCGCCGCCGCCTGGACGATCGCCTCGACCATGGTCAGCCCCGCGGCGACGCGCCGCCGCCAGTGCTGGTCCGCCAGCCCGATGCCGCGCGTCTCGGTAAGGAACACGACGGCCTGACCGAGCGCGACGGAGCTGTCGCCCATCTTGGCGTCGCCCGTCGTCTCCTTCAGGACCACGTCGTCGGTGCCCGGGGTCCCGGTGGCATAGGGACCCCAGCGCAGGCCGCGGCGCCCCATGGCCGCGGCGACGGCGCTGGCGAAGACGGTCTCGGAGAGGTCTCGGATGTCCCGGTGGATGTTGGCGTTCTTCATGGCGGAGAACTGCCCGTCCTGCGCCTCCACCCACTGCCCGTCCGCGCCGAGGGGGTCGGCCGGGCTGTACTCGTGGCAGTCGACGCCCACGTGGGGCGCGAAGCCCATGACGAGCCTCTTGATGTCGCGGGTCTGCTGCCGCGCGAGCTTCGTGTGGTCGCGGTTCGGGTCGTAGTTGGTCGCGAGGTAGCGCTGGAAGTACGCCACGCCGTCCGGGTTGTACCGCGGCAGCATCATGATGTCGACCTTGTTGAGCACTGAGACGGCCCAGGTGGCGTTGGCGTCGAGCTTGCCTAGGAGCGCGAGGAGCGCCTGGTCGCCGGCGGGCTCGTTGCCGTGGACGCCGCCCTGCATCCAGATGCGGACCTTGCCCGGTGCGCTGGCGTTGGCGCGGGATTCGAGGCCGTCGCCGCCGCCGGCGGCCACGAACCCGGAGGTGGACAGGTAGACGTACGGGATGGGACGGCCCTCCTCGGACCGAAGATCGGTGCCGCGGTACGTCATCCACTCGTTGCGCGCGGCGAGCGTGCGGAGGAAGTGGTCTGTGTGGTTTGTTAGGTCGGTCGTCGGGGTTGGAGGCGTGCTGGAGGGAGGGGGTCTTGGTGTCACTTACCGAGAGTCACCTCGTCTGTTGGGCCGCTGGTGCCATTGGCGAAGCCGCTAGGCACGCCCTCGGGATTCGTGAACGCGGGCGAGAAGAGCTCGACGTCCTCGACCTCGGGGAAGTTTGCGGCGACCGCCTTGCTGTCGGGGAAGATCCTGGCCTGGTTGCTCGCGTAGGTGAGCTTCGCGGCCGTGAGGCCTGCACGGAGCAGGCCTAGGGCTGTCGCCTCCTGGAAGCGCATTGTCGCGATGGCTACTGACCTGGTTACGGATTTGGCCCTGGTGGTTTAGCGGTCTCGTAGGGCTTGAGAGAGGGACAGAGACAGAGTATGGGAGGCCGCCAGGAAAGCTCCACGCAAGCTCAGCAAGCTCCTCGACGGGGCTCTGTCGTGATTTAACGTTCTCGGCGGCATCGATCGATCGGTCTTCAGTTAAGCGATATGTTGGTTGCCAAGGCCTCGTCTTACTCTTGCACCCCCATTGCGTGGTGCTGGATGGTTGGAGAGGCCTTGGATCCAGCGGTTGGGCTTTGAAAAAGTCTCCAACTTTCCATGCGAAAGCGCTCGCCAAGACGAGTTATCTCGCCAAGGCGCAAAAGGTCCAAGGTTGCCGAGCACACAAGGCATTGTGCTGATTTGGCATGCCAACGGCATTTGTTGAGCGTTTCGTTCAATCATATATTGTGGGTGAAACTCTAGAAACGCTTACGTCTCCCTGTCTCCCACCTACGGTAGGGCCGTTGAGTTGTCAAACTGAATACTGTGCTGTTGCAGTGGAAGTAGCTCCTTGGACCAGACTAAGTATGCACACGCCGGCTTACTGGCTTACTGGACAGCGATGGCTGCATGGCTGAGCTTGCAAATGAAATGGACCTGACATCGAAAACAACCACATTGCTTCAACAGCCATTGGCATCCGGGATATCACAGCATGAAAATCTTAAGTAGCAGAGCTACTTGAGTTACTTCAGAACGTAATTCATTAATATCAGTTATAAGTGCGTAACAGTTGGGACACATCAAGCCCAATGGCGCTTCAAGAGTCTGACTTGCTGGCCGCGTCGATTTCGAGATGAATCGTCGGAACCTCGGTTGAGTTCCCAGGCATCACGAACGTAATGTTCCAGAATTCGAAACCGCTATTCCGTATCAGTGCCGCTCAGCAAAAGGAATTCCGTTTTTTAACTTACTGGATGATGGAGCAGGTGCCGCCGACGAGTCCGCAAAAGCCAATCTCGGGCTGCAGCTCCACGCTGCCAGTGACGTTGACGTTGATTCCCTCGACGTCCTCGAAGCCAGCAATGTCTCGCTTGCCACCCAACGGGTTGGAGCTGACGAGAAAGGTGAAGACGCTTGTCGCGTTGCCGCGAGGGTAGGATAGGCTCAGCTTCCCGGGACTGACGTCCACATCCATAGCCTCTTCAGTGCCGTGGAGAACAGCGAATCCGACGCTTCCGTCGTTACGGGACCACTGCACCGCAGCAGGGGTCCATTGAAGAGGGTCTTGGCGCGGTCCGCCGAGGGTGTCCTCGTCGTAAGACTCGGCGCCAATGGTCAGACGGTCTGCCAACCATGCCGTCACGTTCCGAAAAGCGCCGTCGTGCGGCGGCGAAAACGCGGCGGTCTCGTACATGTGCTCGCCCGGAAACGTGCTGAGCTTCTCTACGACCTCTGAGGGCACGATTGCGTCATGGAAGGGGGCCAGGACAGAGATGAGCGGCGCGTACTCGAAGTCGTCTGCGTGTGCCATGCTCCATGTCTGCTCGATTCCGGGGGCCTTGTCTTTTCCAACGAGGGACCAGATGTAGATATTGAGGATGGCGACGTACTGGTTCATGTCGAAACCGTAAGTTCTGTCCCACGGCCCCGCAACGTTCCGGAGATTCGCGTTGTACATGCTTCCTATCGTCTCCCAAACAGCCTTGATCATGCGCGCGCCGTTCGCCCCCATAAGAGAGGAGTCAGCGGGCATGTACTTTGCCCAAAGTGTCAAGCCGTAGATGCTGACGCCCGCATACGTGGGGCTGTTGAACTCGGAGAGGGTGTCGTTACGATCAAAGAGATCCAAAATCTCTTTGGCGTAGAGCTCACCGGCCGCGGTCATGTTGGAATCGTTGAGGGCGCGGCCTGTCCACCCCGTTGCAATGGCACGCATGATGGAAGGGTTGCTGTAGGACGGGTAAAGGTTGTCGTCGTCAACTCCACCAACACGGTAGCTGTCACCGATTGTGTTGTTGTACATGCTCTCAAGGATAAGATCCTGCACATCGTGGGGAAGAAGGTCCTTAAACTCTTCGTAGATCACGATAAGAGTTGTGCCGATGAAGCCTCGCCAGTTAGGATCCCATGAGTTGTAAATCTGGTAGCCGTGTCAGGAAACCCTTTGTGTTTTAACGGGCAGTTGGGTAAGTGACGAACATTTTTAGGGTACGCTGGAGTACCAACAGTAGGTTCCTCTGGATAGACAGTATAGTCTCCGTACCTATCATACAGCGTCAATAATAGTCAACGGGAATATGCTCTTGAGTGCCGAATTACCATTGATCTTCGGGGTTCTTCTTCTGGCCATCTATGACGTTTTTGATGATCTTGATAGCTTTCTCCACGTCATCGCCGGTGTTTCGCTGCAGGAGGCCTGAAGCATACCAGACTGATGAACGCGTCTCATGCTTTCCTGCCGCTAGGGGATAGTAGAAGAAATAAAGATAACCGGCCACCGGATCGTATATCTTGTCGAGAAACAGCATGGACTGGTCGAACAAATCTTGGGTGAACCCTTTCAACTCCACTGCGGCTACTTGTTGTACGAAGCCTGGGACGCCAAGTAGGCCAGCTGCCATTAGGCAGCCAGTTAAGAACCTCATCTTCGAACAATTTGTCACGGTCGATTCTGGTCGCCTTGTGCGACGGGTTCGTACATGACGCCGGGCTTTTAGTATTGGTTTTATGTGCCGTTCAGGTCCGTCCTCGTGAGTTACAAAGCCCCTCTTCCGGTAATGACCGGTGTAGAGGCCGTATCAAGAGAGATCACCACTCCCATCGCTGGTCATGAGCAACGCATAGTGGACCGCCGCCGTCGGACGACGAATCCCCCCGAGGGAAACTTGCTTGACCATGCACCATGCAGTTGGCGGGGAGCCGACCTTGGCAATTAAGATGCCGAATGGAACGCCCTGGCGGGGGACTGTACGGATCGGCGCAGATGCCAATTAGCCGAGATTGGACAACTGCGATTATAACGGCGCCTAACTAGTTTTAATCGGCAAAGACGGAATACCCAGCCAGTGAATACCGGCCACTCACCCGGAAGTGTCCGGACCGGTTGCCCGGAGGCACACCGAGTAAACACTCATTGCTGGTTCAGACCAACGCTAGCAGACCCCAGTGCTGTCCTCGAGACCAATACTATGTGGGCCCTCGACCACTTTTATCAGGCTCTAAGTACATAGCATATGTAGACTGACCATCGTACGCTTCACGCATTATCTATTGGAACACCGGTGGAGGAATGCCGAATGGGGAACAATGTCATGGATAAGGCAGCTATCTCGGTCTTAGATTGAGCCCTTGTTGAACCTTTTCTTTGCCCATTGCCCAGCCATTTAAGCCCACACCGCAGTTCTCACAGCACCAGAAAATAACAACGGGGAGAACCCGGTCTATTTACGCAGATTGGCCTTGTTTATTAGAGCTAGACAAGGTTACTGGGGAAATTAACTGGCGGAAAGTAACCCGTCATTCATAAGTTACCGTGAGGCTGGAAATAGTATCGCGTGGCTAGTACCAGTTGTGGCCACCGCAGGGTTTCAAACTCTCTTCATTGCGTGTCAGAACCATTCTTTAGATGCCTCATATTACCCCGATGAATGTTTCTCAAGATAGTGATTGCTTGCTCTGTATGATATGCAGACTTGCTCTATGAACTGGTAAATGCGACAATACAGACGCAGTGTTAGAAACAACAGTTGTCAATACTATTGACTCAATAGTGATTAGCATGGCACTTCTAACCAGCTTGATTATTAGATCTTTTATTGCAAAAATGATCATTATCTATCTGGCTATCCATAGAAGCACTCCAGAATCTTATAATGACATCCGGTTCCAGCTATTTGAACTTTCTACAACTTCTGATAAGCATACCGAGGCCCCAGGGGGCTAAGAATCTTGAGTTCGCGCGGTTTTACGTAGAATGGCTCTGTTGCATCAAAGTAGTCGTTGTAGTACTCTTTGGTCATTTGGTGCTGAAGGTTATTGGCGTTGGGTTAATCTCAGCTCATAGTCTTGCTGGTAAAAATTGTCTTACTTTCAATATCCAATCCACCGGTTCAGACCTAGGATTCTTGTTAGGTACATCGAAAAGTTCGATGGCAAACAGCCTGCGGTTCGACCTACCATTTCTCAATCCAGATGATCGTACCTGGAGAATCGTGCACCTGATACATCTCAAAATACATAAGCTCGGACTCCCTTTTCATCCTCTCAATTGTCGGCTCTGAAGCTTCGAGAAATCGCGAGACATCACGGGGATGGACGTGAACAGTAACCTGGAAGACCGTCGCCATGATGTGACAAAGTACAGAGCGCCAAAGATTGTGGTATTTTGATGGATTAAATCCTATCAAGCTGTTATCTCATCCGAAGGCACTGGTTTTGGGGGGAGCAAAGCCTTCTTATGGTACGCAACAACGTTCTCCCCGCATGTCCGACTGGTCAACTCCGGCGGCACGTCAGATGGTGAAACGTATGATGTCTGACCTACTTTGATGGCAATCCGTCCTCAACCTCATCATTGTGTTCCAAGCGTGCCACGGGAACTAAACCTAATCGGCAATTCGTGCGTCCTTAGTGCGTAAGATATTTAGGAACAGAATCACAGCCAATTTAGACCCAATCAATCCATTTGCATATGGCAAGATATTGTTTTTACGGCTCTCCGCTCAGCTGATAAACTTAGTTGCAGGGCTGATGATTCTCTATACTTTGCATGAATTGATGTTGTGCCTTACCTTGCCGTCTTCGTTCTTCTTGGTCTCAGCACCATCAGAGCAGAAACTACAACATCCTCTGTCTAACTCATGAATTGACGAATCCCATTCAGCTATTTACTTGAAACTTAGCATCGACCGATATGGCTAACATATTCCACCTTTGCAGTACAAAATTTCCAGTTAGTTACCAAATTACCTTTTGATATACAATTGCGCCAAAATTGCGCCAATAAACCATCCATTGCATGATCCTGCTTCATTATGTTTTGTCATTTTAACAAATTTCGGTTCTTATATCAGTGTAGTTATTTTTCTTTGAATTATGGGTTACCACCCAGCACACGGCATGAAAACCGGCCGGTTTTTCTGAAGTGGTAAGACTAGTGGAAACGAAAAGATCGAGTGGATGGAATAGCCGTAACAGGCCAATGGAATAAAGCAAATACATCATTGGAGTCGATATCATAATCTCAGACGAAACAGTCTGTTGAGGCGACTTGACATTGGGGTTTTGGATGTGTAAAAACCCTTGCACTGTCTATGGAAAACGAGTTAGGCTGTTTCCTGGAACTTGTAGCATATCAAAAGAAATCTCAGCCCTTGCAAGATCTTGGCGAATGTATAACGTCATCACCCTCCTTCTTTGAGGAAGTTATCTAGACAGCCTGGAAGGATTTGTCGAATCCGAGGAGTGCCACTGAGATCGTGATCCAGTGCATCCTCATTACCTCAACGAGTTGGGGACACGACCAACGACACAGCCCGAACCACGTTCTGTAGCATAAGCCCATCATGCCAAGTACGACTCGAACTTTGGGTCTTGTAGCCAAGCGCTGACCCTGAAGCCATTGCGCATCAAACCGTCAGCCATATCACCCATGGCCAGAAGATCCGCAAGTTCTTACACTCCCACAAGCTGTCAGCATTGCTTATCTACGTATGCAGGGCACATCCGTCTGACCCGGACACATCCGGCGCCGGGAATCTGCCTTAGCCGGCAGACTTGCCCTATGATAACTTTTCCCATCATCCTTTACTTAATTTGGCACGGCTTACACAACCTTCGATCTAGGAATCGAGGGGCTTTGGATGAAACGCAGTGTTTCTTATATTAGGCAGTTCGCCATAAATACCCAGGAAGTCAATCAAGCTATCAGCCGAAGTTTTTCGCCATTGACCTAGGCATTCTGATTCCCAGGAGTATTCAGAATGTCGTGGAATTGAACTTGTACTAGCATATGTGACGCCGCCCGGTCTTTTGGAATTAAAGGGAGGTCAGTCCTATTGCTTGGCGTCAGCGACCTGGTGCTGAAAGCCTATCAAAGATTATTAGAGTTCCTCGGATATCCTTGCAACGTAAACGTCAGAGGCTGATCTTCAGATGCCGCGACCTACCACGTAAGCCCCAACTTGGCAGACTCGTACAGAACACACCCGGGCGGATGGACGTGCGGCGTATGGACCTGTTTTGGCTCATGTGAGTCTCAAGGTCCGCGAGCGGCGTTCGCCCCGAAGCAGAATTGCGTCTTAAGAGTCTGTTCCCCTGAGCTAATTTAGGGGATTGCTGGCCGTAGAACACACCGTCTCTGCAGCCACCGAAAGTTGCTTCACAGCCTCACCAACATGCAGCCTACAGAAATAATCGCCATCTTGGCGGGGACTTACCAACTCCTGAATACCTCGGCGTAAGAAGCTCTTCATATACCTCTCCCCCCCCCCTCCGCTGCAGTCGCTGCCAATAGTTGCTTTTTTTGCTCACAAGCATCCCACAGGACGCGCGACGGGGTACCAGTAGAGGACAGGACGTACGGCTCCAACCCAGTTGGCATCCTTTCTTACAGCAAATCCGGCTACATGTCTGCCACCATCACGTCGACGGACCCCGAGGACCGGCCAGCGAACTTGACGTTTCCCTTCCAAGACGGCCAGTCGGACGCCGACTGGGCCGCCATCGGCAGGCACAGCATCGGATACGCGGGGCCCGTCTCGATCACCGACGCGGTCGAGGCCACTGCTACGTCCGGCCAGCTGGTCCATGGCCCCCTGACGGTCGCGAACGTCCCTTCCATGGTGGGGAACAAGCAAATACGCAACTACACGACTTTTGAAGACGGGAAGCTGCTCCGTATCTCCTCCCAAAGAGAGGGCGGTAATCGCGGCGAGCTCTGGTGGAAGAGGTTGGATTGAAGTTTTCATTTTTTGCAATATCGATCTTTTCATATATGTGGAGGGAGTTCTCTGTAGCGAGGGCATGGCGAGGCGTGTGGCTTGATGTGCTGTATTCACATTGGCATTAGAAGATCGACACAGAACTGAAGGAAGAAGCCAAAGAAGAAAAAAGAAAGAAAGAAAAAACATGGTTGCAACAGCATGTTCTTGTAGAGTCAACTATGGTCTAGACCGGACTACTGGAAAGCCTCGTTGGCCAACTTATGGGCCTCCTGGTTCTCCTCTCGCGGGATGGGCCAAAACATGACCTCCATCCCGCCGTCGTCGCCGTACGTCATGTCGTCCAACCGCTCGTGCAGCTCCCTCAGCGTCTCAAAGTGCGCAACCCTGTGGCCCCTGGCGTTGATCCCCTCGTTCTCGATCCAGTCCCCGATCCAGAGGGACATGGCGTTGGCCAGGTACTCGGAGCCCGTCGCGATCTTGATCTTCGTCAGAGAGCGGTCGCGGGCGGTGACCTCGCGGAGAGCGTCCAGCGCCCGGGCGAGGGCCTCGATCTCGGCGCATGCGTCGGTCTGGGGCAGCGCCGGTGCGAGCAGCCCGCAGCGGTTGTGCCGGGACCCCGGGCCGAAGTAGACGCCCCACGAGCCCCGGGCCGAGGGGGTGCCGACGTCGCGGCAGGCCCCGTCGATGTACACGACGAGGCTTCCCGGGTCGGGCACAAGGCCCTTCTTGCTCCAGGAATACATCTGGAGGCCAAAGACCTGCTTCTGGGGGTCGTACACGACGAGCTCGGATCGGGGGACCATGTTGTGGGCGTCGCTTGCGCGATGTTCGAATAGGCGGCTTCCCTCTCCGTCGTCGTCGTCGTAGCCCATCATCTTGCCGCAGTTTCTTCTCCCAATTGTTGATGATCTTGAAGTTTCTCGGAAAGTCTCCAGGCTTGTCATTTGATGGTATTACGTATTTTGTGATATCCCCTCAGAGATGGTGAGGTGCGTAGGAAGGCCCAGCTATTCCCTTTGAAAGCTTGGTATAGGACCTCACTGTGAGATCTTATAATGGTCTCATTTGAAAACCGATATTACCCAATATGCCCTGTTTCCTGCCTCGGCGTGTTGGGCTAGTGAATGGGCCGTAATCCGAAGCGCGTGTGTAAGATGGACGGTTTGGTGGAATGAGGGGAAAAGCCAAGTAAAGCAAATTTACCATCGAAGTACGGATAAAAGTGGCACCCTGCATATTTGTCAATCGTGGCAGCCAGGGTATTAACGGTGCTGATATAAAAAACGATTCCAGGGCCTCCAAACTCAGGGGCCTCCAATATCACATCATTATGAACGGATCCCATTAGGGACTTGAGACAGACGGCGCTTTTCATTCTCTATTTCTGTGTATTTCTCTGGCATTCAAATCGTAGCATAAGCTTCACTACGCCAAACAACACACCCGGATATTCTTGTTCCATGTCAGCGACGCCCTTTGTTTTCATATAAACATTAGCGTAACTGAAAGCAGAATGAGGACAAAGCCCGGCAACAGCACCGTCATCATCAACTCCCTCATCGCAAGCTCAGTGCTGGGCGAAATCATGTTCAGGGGGAAGCGCGGCGGGAACGCTCGCCGCCGCCGTTCCACCGTTTCCATGAGATGTCGGGGCACATTCAAGATGTTGACGCTCAGCCGGTGGTTTGTCTTGCTCGTGTCGTGGAGGACATAGAGCGTCTGCAGGTCGGGATCGTATGACCATTCTCCGCTACTGACCTTAACGTCGATGTTGCGCTCCGCATAGTGATATTTGGGTATGAAGACTTCGGTCCTCCGCGACTTGTCCGATTGCTTCTTCTCTGTATTGTTTGCCTCTTGAGTCTCTGTTGACCATTCAAACTCGTACCGCAGGGTTTGGGGGTCCCAGTCCGATCGCAAGGGTCGCCCGGCAATTTTGACGGCGTACGGACGGATGATGACGTCAAGAACCCTCCCCCCGCGGTACAACTCATCTTCTTCATGTGGCTCGTTGGTATAGTCGGGGAGGATATGACCAGGTTTGGCTTCAGTATTGCCGTTAACGACAGAGAAGTCTTCCATATTCCAGCCGTCACCGTACTCGACACGGTTGTCGGGGTTGTAGTTCCACAGCGTAAACGCTACCTGGTTATCCTCCATGGCCGAGATGAGGGCATGCATCAGCTCCCGCTGCTTATCATAATTGCCAGTCTTGAACGCCTCGCCGCCGTTGATGTCGAAGGGGATGCCGACCTCTCCGATAAGAGCCGGGACGTGTCGTCCCAGCGACTTCTTCCCGTACTTGAGAATGTTGGAAATCTGGAGGCGGTAGTTCTTCCGCAGCGCCTTCGCACCGAAGTAGAGCGCTCTGAGAATGAACATACCCCTTGACGCGCCCTGCACATTGACGCTCATCCACGAGTGTTGCTTGCTGAACAAGACATTAAGATCGTAGAAGTGAGGCGCAAACA